GTAAGTTAATGTTACTAAGCTGACTGTCATTTGGGGCGGCATGTCTCATGAAGCTGTATCGATTTGTCGCTGGGCCTGTTTGGATTCAGCTGCAATCCTTGTAAGGCCGAGCCTTCTGGAGGAGTTGGTCGCGAGGTGTATGAAGGCCCCCTTGCAAAAGATCTGACATGTCGCAGTGCTTTGAAGCCTCCCGTAGCCTGTATGACAGCTTCCTTCGGCCTGTCAGTGACGTCTCGGAGCATCGGCCAACTTATTCCTGTTGGATTCCGCCTAAAACCGGCGTCTGACGATAAAGCCAATCCAAGACCATCGAAGCACAACTCAGGTGTCCTTAAGTATCTCCCGACCGCTAAGCCCAAGACCCTTAGAGGCCTATACACCAACATCTGAAGCCTGGAGTCCCCACACTTTAAACTCTAAAGCTGAACTTTCAATGCCTTCGACAAACCCCCCCCAAATGCAAGGTCTGTTCAAGCTACAGGCGGCAAAAGGTTTCCCGATCAGAAACAGTTCTATCTTAGCAGGACCTCCTTCGACAAGTCCTGGAGGGTCGCGGGGAGACGTTGGGTGAGTCCCATTTGCAGACTCTTCGGACCGTGCCGTGGCCTTCAGGGGTTTAAATTAAAAGTTGGCGAACCTTATGCTTGAACAGGTCATTTGCATGTTTGGAGCCTCCTGCAGGAGACTAGTCTTCAAGAGCTTTGGGTGTTGTGTTTTTCGGTTGAGTTTTGTGAGCCCAGCTCGCCATGTGGGAGCCTTGTTCCGATCTGCGGTTTACAGTACACATGTTTCGGCGTGACAGGGGGGGGGTTGGGTGTTCATATCAAAAGCGCAGTGTCGATGGGTCTGCGCAGGGCTTTGATGGATTCAGCCAGGTTCTGCTTAGGACAAGTCCTAGGGAGAGGATTGACGCTGAAGCCCCTGACAAGTCGGTGGTTGAGGTTCTTTCTCCTGCGTTGCTGGTGGACGGGCTGCCCTCAGCCCAAGCCGCTACTCTATGCTGCAAGCGCTTGAACCCGGAAGCCTCCTAGAAGCCTCATCTGAAGAAACCCCCAGCCCGAGACCTGTGCGCACCTGTAAGGCCTCTTTCCTAAATCCCGAAACCCTGTAACACCTAAACCTTCAGCCCTGTAAGGATTTATGCTACATACCTCTCTCAGGTGCAGCATCTTGCACGACACCTTCGGGCGCAGAAGCGGCGTAGCGAAGCAGAGGACCTCTACCTTTCGGGTGGGTTTAGTAATTGGGGGGGGTCTGTCCGTGTTGAACACACGATTTTCGGGAACAAGGCGGCAAAGGACTTTTGCTACAGCCATGATCTTGTTTGAAGGATGATAAGGTTCAGATTGGTGTAAGCACTACGTTACCGGTCAGCCAGTTACCTTATGCGAATTTGTACTTCACTGTACTTTCTGGCTGCCTTACTTTTGCCAGGTCTTATGGCCGTACTTATTGCATCACCATGAACCTTCATTGTAAGCTTTGAGTTATACACCCCTCAAACAGCGTGTGACCCCCACAACGCTCCTATCAAAGGCGACCAAGGCCTACCGAGGTCTACCTTATTCATAGCAACCTTCTCATCATAAAGCTATGTAGTGCACTTGTAGAAGCTTATAGTCGACCGAGGGCCCCTTGGGGTTTCATGTTCCCTCGCTGGAGGCCCCGACCGGAGCCTAATGGGCTTGGAATTGGGGGATTTGGGGTTAGAGTCCTTGAGGATAGGGGCCTGTGGGAGCATGGCTTTGTAGGGAACTCCGAATTAGGTCTGCGAGCTGAAGCGCGAAGACTCGGAAAAGCCCCTGTTGTCAGGATCTCTTCTGGCGCGCTCTGGAGGGTTTCGAGGCGAGGGCCTGGTAGTCCAAAGAGATGTTTGCGACTGGCGTCGTTCTCGTTGGTAGTTGATCCCATTCAAGATGCGGTGTCCCAGAAGGTATGCCAAATGTCGGGCTTGTCGTGCCTCCTGCGTATGGGTTTCATGAACTCAGGGTGTCTTTCTTAGTGCTGCACAATCCAGATCGACCTATTTAGAATTGGTGAGAGGGAGCGTTCGTGCAGGTTAGTGGTCAGAATCATTGACACAAAGAACCAGTCCGGGACACTCAGCAACAGAAGCCCTGAGCTGCCCGACTGGCAAAGCCAAAGCAGGATTCTGAGCGGAGGGCAGAGCTGAGGACGAGTTCATGGGTTTAGGGCGGCCTGACAGGCAAGTTCACCCGACCCGGAGGTTTGGGGGTTTAGCACCCCATTCGAAAACCTTTATTGGGCAGGCAATCCGATCCCTCGGGATATATCCGTATGTGTCCCAGCACGACCCTAATTCAGAAAAGCTAAAGCCGTAAACCCAACCTGCCTTGTCGTGGAAACAGGAACAGCTCGGTGAGACGTTCCCGACTCAGTTCCGGTTCCTACGGTTGAGGGCTTTCTGGGTTTCTTCGGGTCCGTAATGTGAGCCTGTAGATTTTTGCAGCTTAGGCATGGCTGGCGTCGTTTAGAGGGCTCTGGGCCTGGGCCCCTTTTTGAAGCGCACTCAGGGCCCATAGGGTCAGGCTTCAGGACTCTGTGCGTCGGCTATGGTCTCCCGTGTTGTAACGGAAAGGGGGCAGATCGTAGTGGCTTTTACAAAACGGAGAGGAACCAAGGCACGGCGAGCAGTGCTTGTGCGAGTTGACTGCTTGTCATGACGAGGGTTGTAAGCGTAGAAATGACAATTATGGACCCTGATTGCCATCATGATGATCATCATGATGCCCGTGGATGTAGATTGACCATTTTCGTATTCTATCCGGAGACAGATAGAGGCATTGTCGTTCACATAAGGCAGAGGTTGCCAGGGTTTGCCGGTGGCTTAAGGCCTACATGTGTCCGTGTTCTGTGTAATTCAACTGACCCTTTCTCGAGGACCCAGGTGCCTACTTGCGGCTGCATCAGTGCATGTCTGGTCTCTCAGCGCAGCAGATGTTATGAACTACTGTCTAGAGTGGTCCTCAGCGCATGCAGAACCTACTGAGCCAGCTTCTAAGTGGTGCTGAAGACGACGATGAGGTTGCAAATTTTCCTTTAACCTACATAACATAGCTGCATGCAGGCTGGCACCTGCTTTCGAAACCTGTTTCGCAATGCTGATCCTTCTGCTTGGGTGTAGTAGATAGGGGATCGTAGTCAGGTTCCTACAGTATGCCAAAAAATTGCCAAGGTCCATGGAAACCTTGGATCTTGTTCACGAGATAGCGGAGCTGCTCCAGGCAGGTTTGAGCTCAGGGCTTTGGGCGTCTTCATCAGGCCAGGGCTTGCAGTTAGGCTTCGCAGTAGTGCCGGCTTAGGGTGGAAGACAGGGTGTCTATTTCCGGGAGTTGGTGTTCTAGGCTGTTGCTTCCGCAGGTGTTTTTCATCACATCTTCCAGGGCTTCTTTAGTGCTGGCGAAAAGGCCTGAATTCAAGACGGCAGCTCGGGCATTTCAATGCAGTCCGAATTCCCAAACGTTCCGGTGTTTCGACGAGAAATAATTGAGGGAGCTTCCGGTCCTGTTGGATGAAGATTTGGGAACAGTTCGGATAGATTTGTGCATGAGGGATCCGGGTTAATTACTGGACTTCGAGGCTGTCGGACAAACGGTGTTTGCGATCTGAACCCCAAACCTACACAACCTAAACCTGTGGGGTTCTGGTAAAACCGGCTGCGTAGGGCCACTGTTTTGGGTGGACATCCTGTTCTGCCATGTCTCTCAAGCGCCATGCCCTGTATAGGCCCTATCCCCCAATCAAGCTGGGCCCTCCGCTTTCGGAAATTAGCTTCCGGATATGCGCAGGAGGTCGGTGATGCGGCGGAGGCAGAGAAACTCTTCCGACGAGTGCTGTCTGGACGCGAGGCGGCGCTATGATGATCTTTCGGTCCCACCTAATCTAAGCTTGTCCTCTTCGAGGGCCTGGATGGCTTGTTACTTACAATCTCACAACATCAAAATTGCGGCAGGCATGACAAAACCCCGACACCCCAATATGTGTCGGGAAACCCCCTGTCGGAAGCAACTACCTGGCTAAACTTCCAAAACAGCAGCTGCCCACCCTGCCCCACCCGACCCCGGATTTGTCAGGATGTCCAAGCAAGTTCTACGTGACAAGTCTGTAAGATATAGGATTTATACGACTGTAATTTTATGAGGCTTATAGGCTTCAGGAAACTGGCTCACGGTAGCCCCGGATTCGAAACCAATCGGGGCAAAAACGGGCCAGCTACGATGGGTACATGTTTTTTGTTTATTGAGTGCCTTCTCGATTCTACTGAATCGGGTGAGGCTCCCATATTTCACAGCCATTCTCCCTGCTCGGGTCTCATTGCGCACGGCGGGTTTTGTGGTGAGTTTCGTCTAAACCCTAAACCCTAAACCCCTGAACCCTAAACCTTGCCAGGCCAAGCTTGGCGCAGGTCACGTGCAGACGTGGGCCTCCCAGCATCGATGCCCCTGATCAGAGGAAGGGTTCACGACATTCAGGTTCGGATCTATAGGTCTCGGCTTTGAGAAGACATCCTTGGGTTTCTCAAGTGTTATTATGTACAATTATATATATATATATACATATATATATATACATACATACATACATACATACACACACACACACATTCTGGATTCTGGTTCGGTCCGTAGAGCCCATATTGGGCGCGACCCACACACACACAGACATACATATTGTTTTTACATGAGGTCTGAGGACTTATCCGTGTCACGTTTGGTAGGTTCCCGAGTTCTGAAGCGCTGGAACTTCAATCCACTGATTGGAAACGGGACCCCGTCGGTCCCATCGGATGCCATGGTGTCAGGATTGTCGTCTAGAGTGCGACGATCACTCCCAACATGCGCGGCTTCCTGGGTCAAGACTAAAACTGGTGGAAGTAACTTAAAATGGCAGACACAGAAGCTGCGAAGAGGCATGGTAGGAGATGCTTAGGACTCCGATCTATTAGGGACCTTCGCCTCGAACATGTCCAACAGCATTGTCTAAGAGCCAGCGGCCTCCCTTCCTAGAACCGGGAGCTCCACGACGAGAGCCGAGAAGTGTGACCTGTCATCTCATGCGCTTCTTCCCCACGTGTTCGGAAGCATCGCTGCCGGCCGCAATCCGTCCAGACCAGCGGACAAGCGGCGGGAAGAGCATGTGCTGCCACGCCCAAGCGCTCTGCTTCATGCCGAGCGGGTGATTGCACCTCCAGTGGCTGCTGACCGCCCCTTGTGTCTACCGAACAAATCGTCATCTCTGCATCGGTGGTCGGTTTCGCTTCCCGCACGACGTGAAAGCCAGGGGTGCAGACCCATGACGTGCTTGCATCGCAGCTGTCACCACTAAGCCCAGTGTCCGCAGCAGCCCATGTTGCCTTCTTGGCCCTGTGCCTTTCCGCCGAGCTGCTCGGCCGAGGCACTGCATCAACACTTCTGACTGGGACCGTCGGCGGCACTCCAGGGTTCAAGCCAGGGGAGGCAGCAGTTTGAGGCAGAATCACAGCCGTGACTGCCGCGGCGATCGCCTGGATCCGATGCGGCGAGGCCTTTACAGATAAGGCCGTTTGTCTTGATCGCAACAGCGAGAAGTGCTACGCTATCCAGGGCCTTGCCCATCTTATCAGAGCTCACTACGAACAGTAGTGCGGGTTTTGAGTAATAGTATCAGTAGTTTAGCGACCACCAGCGGATACTGTCACAAACTATTCCGAGCCCCCGAGTATCGCCTTTGACACTTCCCTCAGCCACACTCCGGCTCAGGCTGACTTCAGTGGATGCCCTGGCAACACTACTTTTGGAGTCAGGCCTGCAAGTTTTTTGGAATGGCTTTATGGCTGACTTTATTTATGGGTTCGGGGAGCAGTGGGTTGAGGGAATTGGGTTCCAGATCGAAGTTCCGCTTGGCCCTTGGTGAACTCTTCTTCAAAAAGCTGGCAAGGCTCAGTGCTGTTTTTGGCCCAAGACTACGGATTGGAGAATCCGAACAGCGGTGTAGGCTTTCAGGAAGGTTTTCAGGTTTTCAGGATTATCACAGGGTTTCGGAAAGGCTTTAGAACTTTAGGGACAGTTTCGGGCTGTATGGGGGTTGGAGTTTAGGGTGTGGGGTTTGTAGTGTAACCCCCGACTCTTGGAAAGTTAGCAGTTCTTAGAGGCTTGTTCCAGGCAAATCGAGAGGATTCATTAGGCCTTGTTGCGTTTCAGAGTGCTTGCTTCGGCACGAGTCTTGCTACTGCCAACTGCAAGCTCCCGATTGGTTAACGTTCATTCAGCGTTTCCTAGTAGATAGGAAGCTCAATATTGAAATAGGGGGCTCTATTGGTATATTGGTAGACGGTGTACGGGGACGGAAAGTAGAATATTGTGGGGTGTGCCCGAAAGAAATCGCTGCGTAGTGTTCATGGTGGCTTGGGACGTGGACCCCACTTCGGAACCGTTTTTCCAGTGTGGAGGTGACAGTCTTGAACTTCATCGTTACAGCCTCAAACCCAAACGTTCTCCCTCAAGTCCTCAGTCCATTGACCTCGTTTTGTGCCTAGGGCTAGAGTAATCAAGTTCCATACTCCGACCATTAGCGGAGGGCAGCCCTCCTTGGTCAGGCGACGCGGAGGAGGTCGAAAAGTTGTTGCGACGAGCCCTCGAAGGCGAACCTGAAGCCGCCACATCAAGCCCCTGCTCGTATGCATGAGGTGCAGACATGTACGAGACGCAAACACGCACGCACGCACAGACGGATATACATACATGTATCAACACATACATACATACATACATACATACATACATACATACATACATGCATGCATACATACATACATACATACAGTGCAAAAATACATAAGCATTCCAAAGTGCACACAGCCAGGCTGCCGCTAG